TATGGTCATCATCTGCATGTTACAGGTACGAATCAGTGGGGCTCTGACTACAAATATATATATTTATATATAATTTACATTTTTTTAATTCCTGTAGTATATGATAGTAATAGGGTATGGCCAGCCTCAGTATCCCTGGTAGGATCTTAAGGAAGGGGCCCAAGCTGTTTAGTGGTCCCATCATCTCATCCTCCTGGGATGTCAGGAACTTCCACAAGCATTCTATATTGCCTTATGCCCTCCACACACAGTGTGATTCTTTGATCGAATTAAATACAAACAATAGGTAAAATAACAATTTCCTATCAATCAACTTATCAGATGACTCAACACACCCAACACTGATATCTTCAGTATTAATCAAGACACTTTTATTGATTAGTTGATCATTGATCAGGTCTCTGACATTTAGCACTGATTCTCTATACAACTGATATGAATCTATCGATAAATGATCGGAGCGATCGAGTGGCATTCGAAAATGATCAATTCTTTTCGATATCTGTTTCTCTGGTGATTGGATCTGTTTGCTGACATCGATCAGCCGATCAAATGATTCTATTGAAGCGCGTGTCGCCGTCATAATATGGATCACAGTGAAATTTTCAGGGCAGATGTTGGGATTGTATCTATGAAGTCAGTTGAAGGCTTCTCTATATAATGACACTTTACACGTCAGTGGTTTGCACGATACATGTAAAGCGGAGGAGGAGACGGCAGGATTGGTGAAATACGATGTTTACACAGCAGGTCACCTTCATAGGGTGCTGAACACAATGTTTATCAAACACTAAACTGGTTTATCCCAATCCCCGGTGACTGTACTGACCCCGGGCCCTTTCCGACCAGCCCCGTTCTGTCTCACCGAGCACAAAGGTGCTTTAAAGAGAACGTTCAAACTTACAGATTGTCACCTGAACAGAAATAAAAGGAAAATCTTCCAATGGGGACACCTGGTCTAGTGACAACTGTCTAAATCTAGCCATACATACAATCTAATTGTAAAATCGCTACAATCTAAGGCTGGGTTCACACCTAGGCGTATCGAATATATGCGTTTGTCGCTCGTTTCGTGCCGCACGTTTTTACCGCGATTCGCGGTTTAAAAAAACGCACGACAAACGAGCGTTTCTGAGGGCTACCTGGCTGTATCCCAATGGATACGCACGGCAAATATGCCCCAAAGAAGCTCCCATACTTCGTTGGGCGTAGGGCGTTTTGCAGCGCGTTCCTATGCGATGTAAAACGCCCAGGAGGGAAGCATGCCCATAGGCATTCATTGGTTTTCACATGTTGAGCGTTTTACAGAGCGTAGGAACGCGCTGTAAAACGCCCAGGAACCAGGCCTTAGATTTACCCAAACCATGTACTATGAGGACAAACTATCTATTCTCTTAGAATCAAAATAGGAAGACTCCTGCACTACATAGTTGATGGTAGATCTGAGGGCCTATTCACACCATGTCCGGATCATCTCCAGACCAGACCAGATTGTTTCTGGACCCAAAATGCATCCTAATGTATCCCTATGCTATTTCTGGCCTCTGTTCACAACAGCGCATTCCGTTCCAGACCAGACCAGCAAAATACTGCTTGTCCTATTTTGTCTGGTCTGAAATGCGCTGGAAAGCATAAAAACACATAAAAAACGCATATGAACACACTGGAACGCACCTGTAAGACCATTTTAGGCAAAAAAAATCCAAACGTGGCAAAATCGCTGTAAAAATGAGGCAAATAGCAATGCACTGCATTCCAGATCTGGTCCAGAAAATGGTGTGAACCTGCCCTAACTGCTCTACTCTGCATCTACTCCGCACTTGGTGTGAACAAGCCCTAAACGTACTTACCACCCACAATGCACTTGACCGCACCACTACACGCTGTACCACAATGCCGTATGTTGCACTGCAATTAAAAAAAAGTAGTTTAAATCAGGGGCATCCCAAGACCGGGTGACACCCGCCATGATGTCATTGCACATGCGCGTGACGTTGCCGCGTGTGTGCGCGATGACACCATTGCGCATGCACGGTCGTCTTGTTGACGCCTACCGGTGGCCATCTTGGTGAGAGAAGAGGTATGAGGTATGCTACTGGGTCCCCTTCTCTCTCTCCTGACGCTATCGGGCTCTCAGTCCGTGACCGAGTGCCCGACTTTTCATAGGGGGTGACACCAAAATGACTGTCAGTCATTTTGGTGTCACCCCTCCAATGGTGTCACCCGGGTGCAGTCGCACCCCCCGCACCCCTCTTGTGACGCCACCGGTTCAAATGAATGACAATGCAACGCACCTCCCACACTACTGATGCAGGATAGGTGCGTTGTGTGGTACCGTGCATTAATTGGATATATGTGACGTGGATATACAGGAACGGATCTATGTAAAGTGGCGTGCGGGGTAAGAGCAGGCAATCTGTACTGATAACAACCATCCCATCAACCTAGACGCAATCCGCTTCTTAATACCAGAATGACATAAACAGCTCTGGGATAGCAAATTACTTGTATATTGATAAGTCCTTTAAAACACCAGGATAAGGAGCCTTATTTTAAAAAAAAGTGACAGTCATTTTTAGAAGAGTCGTATAAGACAGTTACATGGCTAAAAAAAACCATCCTTATTCTTATGTAAAGCTTCATCAATTGAGACTAATGTCATAAAAAACCCACGAAAAAACAAATCTAGACATTTTTTAATTTTGATTTTAATTAAATATGATTATTAGCATAAAATACATTGTAATATGAATGTCATTTGTGGTTACAGGTAAATGTGGGTGGAGATCTGACACCATTCCCCCAGAGGCTCCACCCCCCGCCCTGGTTACACAGGTATGGGACTGTCAGGTACAGCAGAATCTGTGCAGGGAGCTGAACACTGGAAGTATGGAGAGGGGTCTGTGTGTCTGTCTGCTGCTCCTTCTCTGCTACGTCCAGCAGTGTCACTCAGGTGGGTGCAACTGATATCCAGATAGATTTATCGGAGAGGGGGCTCATCCCCACTGCGCCCACTAATTCCCACACTGAGATGGTGAATTGTCCATCCGGGCTGGCATTGATTAGATTTATAAAGTTACAGGGGAAAGGGAGGGGTGGGGTGTAGTTTAACATTTTCATTGATTTAACTTTTATACTTTTGTTTCTTTATTTTTATGTTGTTACCTTGTTATTCGTTGAATAGTATTTAATACTTGATATCATGTTTATATTTATGTGGCTGTAGGTTGAGTTTCATTCACGGTCACTTTTTTCAACTTTCATTTTTGTGTCTTATTTTTTGTAAATGATTTGTAAAACTTCACCAGGGCAGCTATAGGGAAATCTCTGCACCCCAGAAGGGACAACTGAGACCGAGCCAATACTGAGTTCTGATACAGTTTATCAGCTCAGGATAATGGAAGTATGCGGTGATGGTTTTAAAAAGTTTTAAATATTTTCCATAATATATAACACCTCATAATGGGCACATCAGGTGTACAGACCCGGGAACTCAGCACAGGGATGGTGGGAGCCCCTCTTGATGGACACAGCAGTTTTGCAGACCCGGAAGCTCAGCACAGGGATGGTGGGAGCCCCTCTTGATGGACACAGCAGTTTTGCAGACCCGGAAGCTCAGCACAGGGATGGTGGGAGCCTCTCATAATGGGCACAGCAGGTGTACAGACCCGGGAACTCAGCACAGGGATGGTGCGAGCCCCTCTTGATGGACACAGCAGTTTTGCAGACCCGGAAGCTCAGCACAGGGATGGTGGGAACCCCTCATAATGGGCACAGCAGGTGTACAGACCCAGGAACTCAGCATAGGGATGGTGGGAACCCCTCATAATGGGTGCAGCAGGTGTGCAGACCCAGAAGCTCAGCACAGGGATGGTGGGAGCCCCTCATATTGGGCACAGCAGGTGTACAGACCCAGGTACTCAGCACAGGGATGGTGGGAACCCATAATGAGCACAGCAGGTGTACAGACCTGGGAACAGACCACAGGAATGGTGGGAGCCCCTTATAATGGGCACAGCAAGTGTACAGACCCAGGAACCCAGCATAGGGATGGTGGGAGCCCCTCATAATTGGCACAGCAGGTGTACAGACCTGAGAATTCAGGAGAACAATTGTGAGAACCCCCCATAATGGGGACATGAGTTGTGCAGAGCCGGCAACTCAGCAGAGGGATGGTGGGAGCCCCTCATAATGGGCACATTAGGTGGACAGACCCGGGAACTCAGGGCAGGGTTGCTGGAGACTATTATAATGGGCACAGCAGGTGTACAGATCTGGAAATTCAGTGCAGAGGTAGTGGGAGCCCCTCATAATGGGCACAGCAGGTGTAGAGACCAAGGAACACAGTGCAGGGATGGTGGGAGCCCCCCATAATGGGCACAGCAGGTGTGCAGACCCGGGAACTCAGCACAAGGATCTTACCAACTGAATCCCCAGTGATGCCTGAAAGTGATGGGGTGTGACAGGATGTTATCTGGACAGGAAGTGTCAGTAATTCTCAGAGCAGGGACACAGACATCAGTTTAACCTTTTTAACCTCAACTGATAATCTAACACAGCCCAAGCTGCCCATTCTTTACTATCCTCTGGAAGCTCTTGGCAGAAGCTTCTTGGACAACATTTCACACACTGAGAAGAGGCGGATTTATATTCTCCCAGTTTCTGGTCAATCCCAGATTGGAATTGATATGAAATTGATTATGAAAATGTAAAACGATAATTGCCGACAATATAGCAATAGTTCTGTAAGGTGTGAGTGGTATTCAGCACCTGTCACATGATCCGTTTTCTTTTTTTCAGCAAGCAATGAGACGGTGGTGAGTTTGCTGCAATGTCCAGGTAAGTGGCCAAATTTCTTATCATTCTTATCAGCTCAAATGTGATCAGATCTGAATGGACAATTTAAGAATGATTGATAATCCTAAATCACTGACACTTGGCGCTTTTTTACTCTGGATTCATGGCTATGTGCATGCACGGGTCACTGAGTGGCCAGATTATTATGATCACCTGACTTTTGTAGGCAAATTAGCTATAATTTCGTGCTAAGGTTGCTAGAGGGCCAGACCATTATAAATAGGGAAGCAGGTTGTTTACCACGACAGTAGAAGTGATTTTTTTCTGAAGATATGGGGAAACAATGCGATTTAAGCCTGGGTTCACACCTGGGCGTAATTTTTCTGCTCGTTTTCAGCTAGTTTTTCTTGCGTTTTTTAGCACGTTTTTCCGTTTATTGAAACGCGCGTTTCACTGGCGGTATGATTTTTTCTTTTTTTTTTCTTTATTTTCTCTATTTAAAAGGTTTGTTTTTTTTTCACTTTCAAACTTCCCGCTGGCTCCGCCCACCTGCGACGCAGCCGCTCGCAAGGGACGGAAGTCGGCAGCCGCCGGAGGACACAGCGGGTATCGCGGACAAGTTAAGTTCTGCGCTGTATTCCCGAGTGTGGCTCGGGGTAACCGCTTTGTTAACACCGAGCCACACTCGGGAATACCAATGGAAACGCACAGAAAAACGCCCCAAAGAAGCTCCTGTACTTGTTTGGGCGTAGGGCGTTTTTTAGCACGTTTCCACGGTCTGAAATACGCCCAGGTGGGAACCATGCCCATAGGGAAGTATGGGATTCCACTGTTTGAGCGTTTTACGGCGCGTCGATGAGCGCTGTAAAACGCCCAGGTGTGAACCCGGCCTAACAGCCTGTGAACGTGGGATGATTGTTGGCGCGAGCCATGGAGCGAGTATCAGCAAAACAGCAGAATTTGTTAAATGTTCAGAGCAGCTGTTGTTAAAGTGTTTAAAGACCGGACTGTCAGCCAAAAATCTGGGTCTGAACGTGCGAATTGTGGCCGTCAGCGACTAGTCAATGTTAGCGCAGAACGGAGAGTGGCAAGACTGGTACAAGACAACAGAAGGGGAACAGTGCAGTGTCAGATTCCTCGCATCACCTTTCAACATTTCGTGGAGTCACCAGGCGGCGCAACGAAGTCATCTCGTGGCCCAACGAAGTACTGATGGGGTGGTCATAATAATCTGGCCACTCAGTGTATAATGTACATTGGCCCTCAGGACACCCCCAGATGCTGTGTGCACTGTTAGGACCTTCCACTTGATATTGCTCACTTGTCTTTGAAGGTGCATGCTCCGAAGCAAAGGCACAAAGTGGGATGAACTTGCCTCATTCACACCTATTAATTTTTCGGTGCCCTTCCGTTAGCATTCATTGAAAAAATATCGCAACGCAATGGATCGCAATGCAACAGATCAAGTGTGCATGGGCCCTCTGGGCTGGTTCACACCACAAAGAGTGCGTTCAAGAGCGTTCGGCCTCTGGAATGCACTGGAACGAAACCCAGCCGGCTCCCTGCGTTCAGGCAGGAGGGGTGTGGCGGTGCATTGAAATCAATGGCACCACAGCCACGCCCCCAAAGCGTTCACCCGCACTCGAACGCATGGCACATTAGCGCCAGAGTTTCGGTTAAGTGCGATCTGCAAAATGCAGCATGCACTATTTTTGCAGATCGCACTGGACCTGAATGTAGGCACTAATGTGCCATACGTTCGGGTGCGGGCGATCGCACTGTGGGTGGGGGGCATGGCCGTGGTGCCATTGACTTCAATGCACCACTACGCCCCCTCCCGCCCCTGAATGCGGGGACCCGGCCAGGTTGCGTTCCAGAGGCCAAACGCTCTGGAAAGCACTCTTTGTGGTGTGAACCGGCCGTTAAAGAAACCGAGGAAGTATGAAGGATGGCAATGATTACCTCTCCTTCCAAAGGTACTAGCTCCGGTATGCTGATCCAATGGCTTCAGAGCTCACTGAGTCAGGAACAAGTATGCAGATCAGGGACTCTGGCTTTGCAGGTCTGCACACTTGATCTGGTCATTGACACAGAAAGCACTGAAGCAAGGGGATCAGCATGACAGGCAGAGAGTTAGCAGTTTAAGAAAGATAGGTCAATAATAGCCGCCTCCTCCTTTGTGGTCAAAGAGATTTGGAGACTGCCATTGTTGACCCTTGCCCTCTAAAAATACCAGTTGTCTGAGTGTGATCATAAGCCATTGGTTTCAGTACTTTCTGGATCACTGGCCCAGGACAGGCATGCACATCTGGAGTTCTGATTTTACTCTGGCTCTCCCAATCTGTCTGTTTCTTCTGAGTCATGAAATAAAAGTACAAAACCAGAGTGAGCCAGGTGCCGAGCATTTTCAGAAAGTGGTCAGCCGTGACAGGCTCCATATTTTTCTCTGAGCCCTCTGTTTCTCTTTGCGCTGCCTGGTAATGCTCTGTGATATCACATTTCCTTTATTGTGTTTTCTACGCATAGAGACCAGTATTTGTGACGTGGCCAGCCGCTGCTGCGAACCCGGCATGGACAGTTATGGATGGATCGCGGCCACTGTCGGCTGGGCCTTGTGGTTCTTCACACTGATCCTCCTCTGCATCGGTAAGGTGATGGACCTCCGTCCGGACGAGCCCAAATACCTCCAGGCCTGAGGGACACTCAGAGTGATGGACATGATGAAGAGGAGAAGTCGATTTCAGCCCATCATCCCCCCTTGGAGCAAAGAATCCATTTACAAAAACTCAGAACTGTGCGGCCAGCGAACGTCCATTGTCTTGGGAGTCCATTGCATTCAAGCCTAAAAATTCCCGGAGGGTAGTCCCCGTTCCCATTTCAGAAATACATACATGCGGTTGAATTGTCCTTCTCCTGGTGAAGTAGCCAGGCAACTGGCTCTTTCAGAAGAAAGTGGCAGCAATGTAAGAGATGAAGCAGAACTCCTGCGAAAAACTAAAAATGAATAGCCCATTAACCCTTTCTCTGCCAACAACGTAAGGCATGCGGTGGAACAAAAATGTTCCTAGCTGGCCAGTTCAGTATGCCTTACGTCACATGGTTATAAGTCTGACCTAATAACACCCTGACTCTTCTCTGTAAAGAAATAGTTGGTGTCAGCAGCCGACAGCTATCGATTGTAAAACACCCCTCTGCACTGGACTCCAGGGGCTGGTAATCTGTCCGCTCTGATCCCTGCTGCTCTCCCACACCTATATTAGCAGATGCAGCAGGGATCAGAGGGACACAGATCCATCATGACTCCGTGCCCAGCATGGAGTAGTGAGCTGCGGGCAGAGTGGTTCAAGCTGGAGAGTGGACAATCTGTAAATATGTCTAATATTTACCAATCCCTTCCTGCACTGAACAATCATCAGAGTCAACAGTACTGATCACTCCGGTGTTTATTAGTAACTGAGGCGATAGTCACTGTTTACTATGACACATCACTTCCTATTCATTCACGCCTGGGGACATAGTAAACACTATTTCCTCAGTTTATGAATGGACAGGAGCAGCTCAATATAGAGGCTTCATGTCTATTCATAACTGGGGAAATAGTAAATGTTTACTATCTCCTCAGTCTGTGAATGAACAGAAAGCCTCTGTACTGAGTGCTTCCTCTTCATTGAGTGCTCGGGCTGCAGACAGATCCGTGCTGCGTGCACTGCCGTATCGTGCCGCTCCTGAGAAGGACAGGTGCTGCGTGTCATTACACGCAGCAGCCTGTCCTTCTCTATGGGAGTACGCGGCCATATGCTCACCCGACCTGCACGTCCGTACGGTTGCGGACGTCCCTGCTTGGACGCAGACAGGATCCATCTTGTCAGCGTACGAGTACGGACACCCACACCTGTACGGACGTGCAGCTCGGGTGAGCGCGTACGGCCATGTACTCCCATAGAGAATCACACGCAGCACCTGTCCTTTCCCGGGAGCAGCCTGATATGGCCGTCCGCGGCACGGATCTGTACAGGCCGCCCGTTTCTCGTGTGAAGGGGGGCTTAGATAAAGTACCCCTCCACCTCCCCCACACACAAAACATACGTGTGCAAAAGTGTATTCCATAATGTGGTGTATGTTATGCACATGCGCTGCGATACGTTATTAGAACATATTGTAGTGCTTGATTTTTTATTTTTCACTTTTTAAAATACAAAATCCTTTTGTATGGTATTGCAATTGTACTGTCTCCCCAAAGTTTGTAAAGTGTTGCGCATACTGTTTGCACTATATAAATCCTGTATAATAATAGCAATAAAAACCATTAATTCAACTACGTGGCAGCGCATGGCAAAGCATCGCATTACTATGCATCGTAATATGCTGCATTACAATTCAATATATGCCTGCATCATTTTATCGTAACACACACTAGCACATCGCACAAACAGCACTGCAGATCAGGCGTTACCACAACACGTAGGCAACACGTTGCTTATTTACAGTTTTGTGTTCCTTAGTTTTTTTTTTAACCATTTCACAAAAAGACGCAATTTAAAATTTGTTATTTATTAACTCAACACAGCTTTATCTTTTAGCTTTAATAGGAATCTTGTAAATTATGTGTTTTGTGTACGCCGATAATGATTTTAGTGCATTTGTAACTACAATATTGATTTGATAAACATTTGCGCATCTATGGCAGGACCTACAAAATGAGTGGCACCATCTTTTTATTCTCCTGGTCCTGTGCTTTCAGAAAATGTATGGTTTGAGGGGTTTTGTTTTGTTTTTTCACAAACTTTGAAAGCTGCAGTTGAAAAATGTTAAAAAAGGTTAGAGATCCACCGACACCAAGTATTTGGACGAGAACTTGTACTTGCCCAAATGCTCCCGATACTTATCCCGATAACGGAACTTCCAGTATTAGGAAGCCGGGTGGCGAGTTATTACAGGCCACCTGGCTTCCTGATTGGCCAGGAAGCCAGCTCCATGCTCCCTTGTCACCAGGAAATCCCTGAAGATGAACTCATCTCGTTTTACTGCCTTTTGGTTTGGTAAATGTACAATTGAAAATGCTTTGTTATAGTTGTTTGATTATTGCATAACAAAATTGTTGATCCCTCCAGTCTTTTCATTCCTGCCCAGGTTACCTTTATGGACTATAGAACATCTCTATCCTATGTTATAAAGATGAGGGAGGGACGTGTGCTGTAGGCCTTGCACACTTGCTGTCTTAAGATGACAACACTGCTCCTCCAGATACAGTACAGTGAGCGATGTCACCCTAGGACAGGAAATGTGTTACTTACCAGGTAAAGCTAAAGGAAATGAATGCAGCCACACATCTAAAGATTAGTAAGCTGCCATATATTACATCTTTGTTCTTGTGTTTAAGATTTGAAAATAAGAAAGAGAAGCTGATTGGTTGCAGTGCAAATCTGCTCCAGTTTTTGTCTGCTCCAGTTTTGATGAATTCCCCCCACAATGGCCAAAAGTTTGTGGACACGTGACCTTAGACCAGTTTGAAAAAAAACCTTAAAATCAAACCGCATTTTAAATGCCATTCATCACATCTCTGATGCCGTTATCAAATGTTCTGACAAAATGTCAATGTTTGAATGAAAAGCTACCACTGTATGGCCAGCATTAGATGATCATGTTGGACAACCCATTCTAAAGCCATGGCCATTAATATAGAGTTGGCCCTCATGTGCGGCTTTAACATCCTCCACTCTTCTTGGAAGGTTTTCCGCAAGATTTTGCAGTGTCTTTGTTTATTTTGACTCACTTTTGAGGTCAGGTGCTGATGTTGGATGAGAAGACCTGACTCACAATCGGTGTTCAGTAGGGTTGAGGTCAGGGCTCTGTGCAAGACACTCAAGTTCCTCCACACCAAACTATAGCTGCACCTTTACATGTACACTGTATGGCCAAAATATGGTGGACCCCTCACCTTCACACCGTTGGCTTGTTGAACATCCCAATCCAAAACCATGGCCATTAATCAGTAGTTGCCCCTGTTCTATCAAAAGCTCCAACTCCTCGAGTTCTCCAACTGCCTGACTTCCGGTTTAGTTAGAACCAAGAGGTTTGGCCAAGAAAGCTCTTCTGCGTCAGCCGCGGCATTGCCCTATACACATACACCACAGCAATGAAGTATTAAAATGAACTAGGATCACAGTAATCCAGCACGTTAGTAATCTCAGGTGGCCCACTCAATCGGCGGCCATATTGAGTGGGGCACCTGCGATTAATAACGTGCTGGATTAGTGTGATCCTACATCATTTTAATGCTTAATTGCTGTGGTGTATGTGTATGTGTATGTGTATAGGGCAATGCCACGGATGGCGCTCGTGCAGAAGAGCTTTCTTAACCAAACCTCTTAGTTTTACCTAAACCAGAAGTCAGGCAGTTGCAGAAATCGATAAGTTGGAACTTTCAATAGAACAGCCCCCTTTGGGGATACAACATTCTCCACTCTCCTAAGAAGGTTCTCCATAAGATTTTTGAGTGTCTATGAGAATTTGTGCCCATTTGTGACGTTGGATGAGAAGATCTGGCTCACAATTGCTGTTCCAATTCATCCTTAAGGTGTACAGTATGGTTGAGGTCAGGGTTCTGTGCAGGACACTCAAGTTCCTCAACATCAACCTAAAGTCCACTTGTACATGTAATGTATGGCTAAAGTTTTGTGGACACCTGACCTTCACACCTATAGGAGCTTGGATTTTGAACATCCCATTCCAAAACCGTGGAGCTACAACAGCCAAGGCTTTCCAAAAGATTTTGGAGTGTGTGAATGTGTGAAGTCAGGTACTGATGTTGGATAAGAAGACCTGGCTCACAATCAGAGTTCCAATTCAAGTCAAAGGTATTCAGTAGGGTTGAGGTCAGGGCTCTGTGCAGGATACTCAAGTTCCTCCACTCCAAATTGATCAAACCATGTCTTTATGGAACTGGCTTTGCACATAGGGGTACAGTCATTCTGGAACAGAAAAGGGCCTTCACCAAAATGTGACCAGAAGGTTGGAAGAGCACAACTGTTTACAATGTTTTTGTATGTTGTAGTATTACCATTACCCCTTAATGGAGACCCCTGAACTCCATCATTTGGAGGAGGGTTCACATCCCTTTGGCCATATAGTGCATTTTATGAACAAATCCTTCTGATCTGGCTTCAAAAAGACATCATTACCATCTCTGTGACCACAGCTTGTGACATGATATTTTTAAACCAACGTATATAAAAATAGGATTTCTGTGTGAGCGTCACCCATGAAATGATTTCACATGTATGGAATTTTTTTCTTCACTTGTCTCTTTTATTACTTTGCTGGGTTGTAACATGCATCGGTTCCCGAATGACACAATCGACAAAATACCAGCTCGGACCTCCCCATACAAGACCCTGTACGTGCACATTAAATAAAAATGAACAAAAAACATCAAATGATACAAAAGAAAAAAAAAACACACAAAAAAAGAGAAGAAAAGAAAAAAAATCACCGCAAAAAAACTTCACCCCGGACCGGACCGGCCGGCCCATCCCACCCCAAAACACACACAAAGGAAAACATTACAAACATGTTTATGTACAAAGTTGCGTGTTGTGGAAACAGAGACTTGCCGGTACAGAAACGTCACATGAACAGTCCACGAGGTCTGTGCACAACGCAGCCCAGAATTTAACCCCCTCACGGCCGGGCAGGCCAGCACATCACGGCGTGAAGG